CAAAACTGTCGGGACATAGCTAGCCGCAAAAAGTTTAGGAGCGCTTTAGCTCTAATAAAACGTTTATGCATCGCGGGAAAGACGTTGTCGTGCGCTTGTATCGCCACGAGTGGGGTGTAACAGATGAAAAATAGGTGCCAAGAGAGCTACTTACATTGAATGTGCACAACGAGGTAATAGTAGCTCGCTACGTAGCACCGAGATGTTGTACGCTTAAGGAAGAGAGAGAGAGAAAAAAGCGAAACTAAGGGGGAGACTCGAAAGGGCCTCGTGGAGCTTGCGAGCGAGTGAAGGGTTATGAGATTTAAGAAGGCAGAGAGAGAGAGAGAGGGAGAGCGAGAGGGACCGAGAGAACAAAAAAAATAATAACGGCTGCTACTAGTACTCGCTCTCAAGAGGGACGAAGGTAAAGAGAGCTGGCAATAGAATCAACGAGGACTGAGTCAGGCCGCGCGAAGCGAGGGAGTAATCTTGTACGTGGGTTCCTGCTGCGTGATACGCACGATACGATATAACATGTATGCGCGGCGGGGCGGGGAGGGCGGCACACACACACAACACGCTTGCGAAACGAGGTGTGCTGTAACGGCGCGAGATCTCATTTTTGTTTGCAGCGCGAGCTAATTAATTCTCGGCGACGGATTACGTGGGACATTGCGTGACTTATGCGAGGCTGGTCGCGAGGGCGCCTCTGCTGCTGCTTATTCTGCCTCCCACGCCGTCGCCGCTGTATCGGTCTCTGCTACACACGTACACGCGTTATTTCTCTACGGGCTCCGTGGATGTATGCGTGCTTTTTTGCACACGCGCTGCTGCTATGTGTGTGTGTATACGAGCAAAGCAAACGAGCGTAGGAGCTAGCTCGAGGTATAGGCCGTTAAAGAATCTCGAGCCACCCAAGTGCGCGCCGCTGCTTTTATCGATTACGCCTTTTTCAATTAGTTCCACGACGTCGTTGGGGAAAAATAAACGTGACATGCGCACCCTTCGCTCTCTGCCTTATATATACATACACTCGTATCACGCGGCTGTATACATTGGTACATTGCCTCGCGCGATACCCTGCCACCGCCATCAGCGCTACTGCTGCTACTGCTCTTGCTGTTTCAAATTTAATGACAGATCGATGCAAAGAAACTTTGTTATTCGACAAATGTGCATGAATAATATTTAACATTATTTACAATACATTTGATTTCTGCGGCCTTGCAAATAAATGGTCCATCAATTTTTAAAAAACCTTACATCATTGAACGTACATCAGTGTCAATCGTTGTAATTTATTGTTTCATTTTTAAACCGAGTTCGTTTTCACTTAATAAGCTTCGAAAAAACGATAAAACTTTTGTAAGACAGGTCGACTCGAGCTTCTAAGATTTTATCTTTACACTTACATTTTTATAATATAAACTTATACATTTTTTTCAAAGTACTCGATTTTGTATTGTATTACTTCAGAACAATTAACATATTTTAAAGTGTTCACCTACTATTAAAATATTCTTATGCGCTAAAACAATTGACTTGCAATGTATTTGATGTGTAAAAAGTATGCACAAGAGCCATTACAAACTTTTAACATAAGTCTTTAGCATCTAAAGATGATTCTATAGAAAAGGTAAGTTTTCTCAACGAAGAGAAGTAATAATGAGGTATAATATAAGGTCAGCTCTCTGTTAAATCGAATAGACCAAAAATTTAACAAAAAATCGACTATACTCAAAAAAGAAAAATCATTATGATTCAAGTGCCTTTTTCAAACAAAACGTATCGCAAGAATCATTCAAAATTTCGGAATCAGTGAATACGTCAACTACTTTGGCTTGGGCGAGCGTATTTCAAGAGATGAGTCAATTTTACGAAATTGTTGAGACGACTGTCGAATCAAAGTTTCTTTAATCGCTATTCAAGCAACAGTGCGAAAAGTGTCGTTCAAACGTCTATAAATTAAAAATTGCTTCATAATGTTGCAAAAAGACATATAGTACATGAAACTCTTTTCTCTTCCTTCGTCTCTTTCCCTTTTTCGAGCGAGGTCCTTATTCACCAAAAACATGAATTAGTGATTCAAGTGGTTATGCTTTTCAGCAGAACTAAAAGCATACATGGCATTAGTAATACAAGAACTCGCGGGAAAGGAATGCCGTGCGCACAAGTGCACATACACACATGCGTACATTGCACAAGCACGTGCACACAGACGCGGGGCGCGGCTCTCACATGTAGATTTTATTTTCAACGCGTGCCCCCGCGCGCTGGCTGTCCATGAAAGGGAAAAAGGCTCTGCGCGAGTATATAGGAGCTCGAGCTATAGGGCGCGCATGATCCGCCTTGGAAGAAAATTAAGCAGAGCCCGGTAATTTGAGGTATTGATTTTTATAGTCTCTTTTTCTCCTCTCGTAGCAGCTACGACGACGACGGCAGCGGCGGCGGCAGCAGCAGCGTATGCATTAGAGCCTTAACTTCTATCTCGTTCTTTTAAACGTTTTCCCTCGCAGAGTAAGCTTAGCTCGACGAGCGAACGAAGAAGCTTGGAAAGAAAGCTCGGGAAAACGCGAGAGAAAGTACAGAGCAAGGCACAACCCTTGTAGCAGCAGCAGCAGCAGCTAGCGAGGCGGTGCACCAAACATATCGGTCTTCTCCCTTTTTCGCCTTGTCTCGAAGACCAGCTCCTTTGCTCCTCATCTACATCCCGACGCGTTGGCGATCAAACACTTCCCCTTGGCCCCCCTCATTTATCTCCCTTCTCGCTTCTTTTCAGTCTTATACGTATGTGTGTATACGCGTATACCTACTCCTTTTACTGGCTCGGCTTTCCCCTAATGTCGCGCGCGCGGCTCGCAATCTTGGCAGCGCGAGCAGCTTCGTAGCGGTAGAGGGAGATTCAGGACCTTCCCTTCTTCTTCTTCTGCTTCTTTAACTTATTCTTTTTCTTTTACTTCGGTCTAAGACAGGCACACACCAACCACTCCTGCCGTGCCCCCTTTTTAAGACTCTGGTCTTTGTCACCCACCTTGGGCTCTCTCTCTCTCTCTCTCTCTCTCTCTCTTCCTGGCATCTTTTCTGTCGTCCAAAGTGCTAAACATCCTCGAACTTTTCTTCGGACACAAAATTAAAGTCACTCTCGGTTTCTCTTGGGGATTAGAGAATTCTTGCATATTTTTGCATCCGATAAGCTTGCCAAGTGCTGACTTTTTCAATGGACGAGAGAGGCCACAGTCAGGGTCAACGTTTTTTTTATGTATATACCTTGAACACGATTGCAGGCAATTTTCCCACTTCTTCAGCCTTTTTTTCGCACTATTATACTATCCTAATGTCGCAGTAGCTTGTGTCTTCCGTTAAAACTATTTATTTTAAAATACACACGCTACTATAAAGCTAAACGAATTTTTCATAGCATCCCTTAGAAAAGTGGCTTTAATGCTTAGTAGTTAAAAAAAACCAATTACGAAGCATCACGTGAGCATTAAATCGAAATCACGCATATCGTAAATTAGACGACGAGAAAAAGAAAACGTAAAAATCCCCGAGCCCTTCTACCAAAAAACATTCTTTGCTAATGTCATTCGCATCGCGGGTACCTGTATACATACAGAAACTCCATAAAACTGGAAGATTGGCACAAATTGTTGGCTGGCACGATATGCCGCTATATATAGCATACACGCGTGCATATATGAGCCCCCGCGAGTAAAGCATTTTTACCCCCCCCCCCCCCGTATGCCATCTTGCAAGTATCCTAAAGACCTTTTCATGCATGTATGCATGTATAGCATAGGCGTACGCCCAAAAGATCTCGTGCATGTGTATATTTCTAAGGTATATAAAAGTCAGACTGGAAACGTACCGGAGAGTTCATCGATCGGCTCCAAACTGCACGCACGCCTCTGCTGCATTTGGTGCGAGCCGTGCTATATTATACACGTGCCCCCGCGTGTGCATGTGTATGGTAAATTACTTATATTTTACACGCATGCTATATGTAAAATGTCAGCTTTTTACTTACGGACAGCTTCTTTAATTGCTTTTTTATTTCATTCGTTTCACGTGTGTGTGTTCATATTTTGTCATAATGAGCGATCGCAAGCTTATAACTCATTTTCGCGGACGTATAGTCGCGCGATATGTACGATTGTTAAACTGTTTCATCTAGTGCTTTCTAATTGTCTGTGTTTTTTGGTTTTCTATTTTTAATTTATTTTTATTTTTTTGGTTTATTTTGTTTTTCAAACATTTAAAAGTGTCTTAAATAGTAAGCCCAAATACATGATGCATGGATCTAATCATTTCTAATTTCTTTTATTTTCATCTGACTTCAATAGTTTAGAGATCGTCAGCAGAAATTCTATACATAAATTAGTTAACGAAAAAAACAGAACACTTCACTGTATAGTTAAAATTAAAATTATTTCTACAGTAAAATTATTGAACTAAGAAATTAGAAAAATATTAAGAAAGGCGCACATCAATATTTGCATTAAAATTATCACGTATGTGTGTACATAAAGTTTCAGTGCATTCTGTTTTAATCTATGACATATAATATTGCGTAGAAATATTATTTTATTAAAAACCAAATTCTAGTGTTAGATTAAAACTCTCATGTGTTATCGTACGAGTTGCTTACAAGTAGCCTACAAGACAATGATTGTAAACATACATCTGTTGATACGCGATGCTCTGTGTCGAACTGCTTGACCGCCTCGGCTGCGACGGTGGTGTTAACGGATTCGGCGTGCTTCAAGCGTGAAAAATCGTTGCACACATTTTATATTATAGCCTCCGCAGGTATGTTACTCGGAGCTTTCTCCCGGAGTAACGTACACCTATATCGTATACCTATACAGTTTACAGCTGCTCGAGGGAAATACGTCCTCATCGTTCTAGGAAAATCAAACGCACACACGCAAATACATACATGCTTACTCGCACACACATACAAGTAAACTCGCTCTGAGCGGGAGATATCAGTCAGCGTATACCAGAACATACACATGTTGAGTATCGCAACACGTTGCTCCTCTTCCTCTCACCGATGTAGACAAAGTTGGGTTTAATCTGCCATTCTCGAAGCGATAGAGACTTCAAAATCGCTCCAAATTACTTGCAATATATTATCGTTTATTTTTCTTTGAGAATCGTCAACATGATTGGTTTTAGTTTGAGAGCATTACTTGCATTAGCTGCTCTGATGATCGTACCCGTGTCCATCGGCAGCGCAGGTAACGTATCTGATTATTTAACAGTACATCTGTCGCGAAACATAAGGCGCTTGAGGGTCAAAGATTTTGTATGATATCGCCCTCGTGTGAATATGTGCTCGACGTTGTTGTGTGTTTTGTTGCAGGAGTCGCAAAGCATTGGACCATGGATGTCCGTTGCATAGGAACCGGCGGTTCGGGCAGTCATACGCGAGTCGGCCGTGGCCTAAGAAATAATGGCTCGAGTTGGGGAAGCAGTCATTCGACTAACACATACTTTGTGTTCAATGAAAATAGCAATACCTGCGATACCCACTACGGCGAGTTCCCCAAGCATCCCAACTTCTTCCGCACCAAGAACGATTGCGACAAGTTTTGCCGCAACGGTGAGTTGCAAATAAGCGCATTCCGTACAAACACTTATATGAGTCGCGAAAGATCATACGATTATAATTTATAAAAATATGTCATCATGTTTTCTTACAGTTTACCATAGTTTGGGTGGAGTGCCTTAGGAGGACTTGATCCAGCTGGAACCGCCTCGTGTATGTGATCAAAATCGCAGCGGAGGCGACAAGGCTTCAAACACTGCAAATAAGGCAGCGGTGTATGATAAATCATATAATATAAATATGTGCATATGCGTGTGCGTGAACGTTTATGCGTATTTTGTATTGAATTGATATATTTGATATTTTATTCGAGGCAAATGTATTTACGTGTATTTTAATAGTTTTTTTTTTCACTCGCAATTTTAATAATTTTTTTCGTGACTCTCGCGATGCCTTAGCACGTGCAGCTGTCAACTGGTTGACTTTTCTCCGTTCTCGTATTCGTAACACAATGGTGATTGGAAACGAGCAACCGAAGAGGATTACATACACGTTGTATGCGTAAATGTCATTATGTATGTATGCGAGGATTTTTGAGAGGAGCTTACGCATCGGACGTATGCCAGTTTTAATAATGCAATTTAATCGGCTAAATTGACGTATGTTATTACACTGTTTTTTGTAACAACATGTATTTTATACTCGAATTTTGTATTCATGAAAATTAAAAAAATTTCTTAACGACATTTTTACGTAGTGATTATTTGGTCCAACCTCCTCGAATGTATAAGCACGAAACTCTATAATTTTTTTCTTCAAAAAGATTAATTTTTTTCGAAGCATCACTTTGGCAGCTACGAGCTACCGCACTTCTTGATAAGTGTTGCTATACATAAATACGAGCTCAGAAGAGCTGAGCTGGTTGTCGCTTATGTGCATTGAATGTGCGAGAGCGAGCACGTAAATATGTATAATGTATCGTCCTACACTATGTGGCCGCTTTCCCGAGTCGTGACTTTATGCTCTCGTATTGTGGTATTCATCGTGTGCACATATCGTATGAGAGAACACACACACGTAGATGCATACACCTACTCTGTAGCGCGCGGCCATACGAGCTTTGTTTTTTCCTTGGGGTCTTTTTGTGCATACATGCAGTCTGGCCGGTCGGTTCACGTGCGTGTATATGTGTACGTCCCGGCGGTCACTACCTACAGCGTCGATAAATTCTTCGGTGCACACATGTGTAGCTGCAGCAGTTCATGCACAATCGCTTCTCCATGATGCAGCTCTTCGCTGCGCGCCGGTCTATGCACGACTTTTTGCCTTTGCGGGATCGTCAGACCTGTTTTCCTTGAACAAACTCAATTTCGCCACTGTTTAATCGATATAACAGCTACTACTGTCGTACTGCATAAGGACCAACATCTAAATGCAACTAGCTATTTTTCTATTTTGATATATTATATATTATTAAACTCTCAGTCGATTAATCTTGATTGTAATTTTTTTTAAATATTTTAAATCGTTCTGAGTCTGTAACTGTCTTGAGTTCATGTAAAATGGATGGAATAATTAAAAAAAGTTCACATGATTTGAAAATAAAAATTTAGAATATTCTACCTCAGTGCAAAAGTACTAAATGAACAAGTGTATTGTAGATCGCCTTCAAGGAGGAAGACACGACAAAGGTTAAATAGGAAAAAGGGAAATGCTGAGAAAGACTAGGAGCAATGAGCGAAAAAGGTGCGGTAGGGGGATAAGAGAGAGAGAGAGAGAGAGAGAAAGCTGATGACTCTCAGTCATTGCCAGTTCATATGTGAGCATCGATTTCGCGGTCCGCTGAGCAGCGTGAGTGGTCGATTCTTCGTAGCACGGCCAGCTACAGGACTTCGACCTCGGACGTTTGTGTATACACGTTCATGCGATGATAAATAATGCACTTTGCACATTCTTCTCCTCATCCTCCTCCTACTTCTTCTTTTCTTGCTTTATTGCTCGGCGTAGCGGCAGCGGCAGTAACTGCAGTGCACAAGGTGCCACTTGGAGAATATTTGCGCTCCGTTGTTTTAAGCAGCGTCAATTGAAATTGTCAAATAACTCAAGCGGCAGAACTAAAACCTGAATACTATAGTTCGATTACGAATGAGGTATGTTAAAATAGTTGTTCCAAGGTTCAAATTTTTGATTTCGAACAAACGAGGAACATTGTACCATCAATTAGATTTGACATTCAGTGGAAATCAGCATAATTCGAAATACTGCTCTTTACTGAGTCAAGCACAAGAATGTCAAGTTAAAAACTTATTCAAACAGTAAAAAAAATTCCTTCAGGCACCAGTTGAACCATCATCGAATTGCACACCATGAACATAACATTCGCAAAAGATATGAATAGATTGACGGTGCTTACAAGATTGCTCCTTTCCAAAAAAAATCCTTTCACGCAGCGGTTTTTAAAAAAAAGATTTTCTCACTTCATTAAAAAGAAAGGTTTGTGACAAAATTCATTCTCAACGATTGCCTCCTACTTATTCATCCGGTACCCTTTAAAGTTTCACTCGATAAGAACGTGGCTTACTAGCTTATTAGTAAAAACTTATAGTAATTTGTAATAAGCGTATTTTTAAGCTTTAATTTATATTTATCGAAAATTCAATCAATCTTTAATTGATCATAGTTTAAAAAAAAATTCGATGATTGAAAACGATTAAAAAGGTACGGTAGAAGTTTCTATTAGTAGGCTTAATCAGTTTTAAGGAGTGAGTAATTGTATCACCTTGATGTTATATTGAGTATCGTCAAATAATAATAACGATAGAATAGATAACATTCATTGGGCAACTTTGAACGCAAAAACGATGTTTATGTTTGGATCAATTTAATTTCAAGTTTATCTCGCATTTCGACAGCAGTTATTTTCTTACAACAATATCGGTCTCGCTTTCTTGCTTTTGAGTCCTCTCTTTTCATTCATTTTCGCCAGTAGCAGCAGCAAAGTGTTAGAACGGGCGAATCGTTTGAGTGTCGTGGTTTAGCAGCACCACGCCAAAATCACGGTGTACTTTCCGTAAAGAGCCACACGACATACGCTTGCGTACATAGAGCAAGAATCTAACGGTCAAAGAAACCCCTTGTGAACATAATCCCCTTGTCATGTTATCTTCTGCGAGCGTCAGCTACAAGATACATAAAGATTTGCCTGTGCCGTGCAAGCAGCTCATTGCTCCTCGTTCGTACTGCAATATTTGCTTCCACGAGAGAAACGTCAGCGAAAAAGTGGGTTACGCATGATTTTATATATTTGTCGAGGAGGATAAAATATGCAGTTTCCGAAGTGAAACGAATAGAGGGTACATACTTTGATAAAAAGAGCCATAAAAGTTACTGATTAATTTGTAATATGTATCGCGGTTATATAATACACGCACAAAAATTGTATTGGTTCTAGCTCGAATGTTAATTACCAAAATCAAAGTTTCTTATGCTAACTCTAGGCGTTGATGATACACTCAAAAAGTTTAAATACAGGCTCTTCCATACAATTATCTGATATGAAGAGGTTCGATAATTAGAGATTATTTAAATTAATTGAATTTAGGTGAAACAGTTGTTAAACATTAAAATTCTTAACGTAAAAAAATCTGCTATTGATACTGCCCTACTGAGAAAAAAATTACTATTTATCTGAAAAAAAAAAGAGATTTACAGATGAAATGAAACGAGTGTCTTATGAAGTCGTAATATTCCATAAATTTCCATGTAATGTTTTTCGTTACCGACACATACAGCCTCATGCAAGTACATCGAATTGCATTGAGATTTTATGTAAGCCTCGAGCTCAAAGCAGTAGCTCGGCAGCAAGTAGTCGTCGTCGTCGTCGTCGCAGGGCGGAGGTTCTTTTTGGCCTTGTGTGTGAGTATGTGCTGCGGCTCCCCCGCACCTGTTGCGCTTCTTCACTTCTCTCTCTGCTCACTTTAGCTTGTGCCGCGCCGCACCGACGCCGCGCCGCCGCCGTGTCGTGTAATCTCTCTTACTTATATGCTGCTGCCGTCGCGCTCTCTGCTCTACTTTATACAAGCGAATCGAAGGCTCGGCGCGTCTCTCGCACACACTACATTATTCTATTGCTCCTCGCTGCAGAGAGATGCGATGCGAGTCGCGGAGGAGCTCCGAAGAAACCGAGAGATATCGTAAAATTGGAAGATTAGGTTTTCCCGCAAGCGGAGAACTATCGGCTGGGAGAAGAAGCCCAGATTTCGACTCGTGCGAGCGCGTAACTCGTATGGCATATAAACGACTCCTTTTGCCTTATGTGCTCTCTTTACCCATTATTTCCTCACTTTTCTCTCGGAAACTGATTTTTTATCTGTACCATATAAGTAGAATTTAAAGGAGAACCGTTTCACAATGGATGAAGTTGTTTATTTATTTACAAACGAAGATCTTTCGACAAACATTTTATTAAAATCATACTTTGGACTTATGTACATACTTTGACTTTTCCACTTATAGATTTGCAGATAATATTACTGGCCATCTTGTGGTGGAAACTGAAAGTGGTATATTATCATGTTCAAAGTGTTTGTATTGAAAATTGGTCTAAATTTGATGGAAAAATAATATTGTCAATTTCAGGTTATTTATAATGCGTTTAGTACTTGCAACATTAATATAAATATCCAAAAACAAGCCAATTACGGGATAGAGCAAAAATCTTAGCCATCGATAAACCTCGAGGAGAGGTTTGTTAAAAAGGTCGCCTGGGCACGGGGCTATGCAGTATCTGCTTCGTATACCTGCACAGTTACTTTTCACTAATGATTGAGTGATCGACGAAGCAACGATATCTTTTTCAAATCGATAAGCATCTGCAACATGTGTACACGTGCGAGTGCTTGAAGGCTATTTGGCATTGATACATGATCGTGGCGCTTTCTGTACAAGTACATTATCATTTATGAGCGTGTAGGTCTTAACTGCAGGCAATTCATACGCTTACGTTTGACAAGTTTATCTCGAGAACCAACTGTATGTGCGGCTCGAAGTAAAATCCATAATTTACATACTCGTAATTTTTATGTAATAAGATGTCTCCGTTTTCCTGCAGAATATTTCCGAAATCAAAGTACGCGACGATACAGATTTAGCTGCACCTCGTAATAATTGCTCGAGAATATCTAATTGGACGGGAGGAAGTCTAAGATTAGATAACATAGGTGAATTGATAATATAATTTGCCTCGGATGGCAGCTAGCATATTAGCGCTTGGAAATCAATGAGCACAACTATTAAGCACATCCGACAATGGCGTAAGTATAGCATAGCTCACACAGTCAGAAGAAGGGTATAGTAAGTAACCCCGAAGCAATTTCACATACTTACTTGGCCTCGCTCTGTCTCTCAAAAAAAGTGCGAAAGCATGCGATGGTCTCGCTTGAACAAACGTATACACGTACTCGTACGGTCGTGTGCGCACACGAGCGCAAAGAGAGGCAGCACCAAGAGAAGGAGAAAGAAGAGGAGCAGGCCGATCAAAGGTATAGGCCCTTTGGCTCGAGGTCTGAAAAACAGATAGTCGGTAGGAAAAAGACGCGTACGGGAGAGAGCGAGAGAGAGAGAGAGAGAGAGTGAGTATGTCGTTTTTGGCGTGTGGCAGCACGGAAGTCAGTCGGAAGAATCGATACGCTCGCCGAGGATCGAACTGCTTCTCGAGTGGTCTCGAGATACATCGTGGGAAAGAGTC